CAGTTCAACTAAAACCTAGCATGTGCCCCAGTTCTGTTCATGTATGCTAGTATCAGACACATTGTAAAATTATTTTTATTTTGTTACTAAAGATTTCTACAATGTACAGTACACTGTGAATACTAACATAAATAAAATATAAAATGCCTCCAAAATTCCAAAATATTAATTTTATAGATAAAGAACTTATTTCATAGTTCATGCATCTAGTAACCATCAATAATAACAACAACAATTATTAAGTAACTTTCTATTATCTTTAATTTTTTTATTCATGTCTCAAACTCACTTCTAATTTACAAATTGCTAAAGTAGTCAAAGAACTGGCTTTATGTAACAGCACTATAAAACTCTCTCTTCTAAACATTCTTTGTACATTTTTTTTGTAAACTTTTCATCTTTAGTCAACTATTGCCTTCCTGTTTACTCTACCGCATCTCTTCTACTGTAAAAAAATATTAAAAACTCTAAATAAATTTTATCTTTAATAAATAAATGATCTAGCCTGTCCTATACCAAATTTCCTAAAGTTACAAAATTCTAATTAGATTTTCACAAGAGTTAAAAATTTCTAATTGTACTTTAAGTATATTTAATGTGCTTCCACCTCCAGATAGTGTCTTTATTTAAATTCTACTTAATCCACATGCAATGCCTCATGTTTATATATGCAATACTTCCATTTAGTATATCCTCATTCCATTAACAAAGTCATTGTTTCTTTAAGAAAGACTGACTTCATCTGGTTTTTCTCATTTTAAATTAATGTTAAACAAAAACCTTATGTTTTGCTTTTTGTGGTTATTGTCTTGTTTTATTGTAAAACAGAGAAAGTAATTATGAGGGTTAGTAAAAAAAAGATTACATACTCGATTATAAAAAAACATGTTTCAGATAACAAATGAATATAAGATGTTATTTACATGTATATAAACTATTCCTTTGATTTAATCACCTGTCAATTCAGATATTTCTGAACATATGACCAGATTTCCATTCCCAGTTGAAAAAATATCATGTCTTTGCTGTTGCAGCAATATTTTTGTAGCTGCTTTCACATCATTATCACAATGGAATCAGGTACAAGATAAATGTTCTTTGAGGAGAAGAAACAGGAAAATCACTGGAAGCCAGATCTGTACTGTAAATGTCTCCACAGTGACCACTTGAATTTTTAAAGCAATTTCTGTATGTGAAGAGCAGTGTGAGCTATAACATTATCATGCAGGAGATTAATTCATTCACTCGACAAACCTGGGCATTTTAGCTGGATGGCTTCATGCAATTTTCTAAGGGTGTCACAATATTAATCAGCAGTGATTGTGTGTCCTGATTCCAAGAAGTCATGCGGATAATATCCAAAGAATCCCAGAAAATAGTAACCAGACTTTCTCAAAAGACAGTGTCACTTTGAACTTTTTTCGTTGCTGATGAAGGGTGTCCCATTCCATTCCATCTAATTAACTTTTAGGTAAAAATTTACCTAACTGCTCTATCATGTATTTGATTTATAGCTATTATAGCACTTTTTTCTTTCTTTTTTTTTATCAACCCTCATACTTAAAATTCTAAGGCATTTTCTTATGTATAAATAAACAAATATGCATTTCTTTCATCACTTTAAAACTTATTCTTTATGAAGTCATTCAGTATTATATTTCATTAAAATTAGTATATAAAATCAATTAACAACATTCACATAAAAACAAAAGTAATGGTAAAAATTAAACAGATCATGCTAATATAAAGTATATATTTTAATTATATCTAATTAAACTTTTTAATTAATGTCTTTAATTAAATCTATAAATGTAGAAAATCAATCAGAATAAATAAAATTAAAATTCTACTTTTTTGAATTATTGAATAACTGACAGAATTGATATACACCCTGCAAATGCGAATTACTGAATTTAAAAAATTATTCAATGTACAATAATTTTAATGTATTTTTACTGCATAATAAAATACTTCCTAAATTTGGCTCAATGTAAACAAACAAATAAAATTTAAAAACTATGTAAAATTCGTAGCAATCTCAAGAAGAACTAACTAAATATAACAAATTCAACCGCAACACTATTGTAAGACTGATCTCATGCAGTATAAAGATATATAATCACAACTACCAAATTGATAGGTATTCTTTATTGCTCTTTAGTTCTACCAAAGAAATTGTAAATGAGAGGAGAGTGTTTCTTCCTCTCCACTAACCATTAACACAGGTGCTCACCCCTCCCTAATTACAATTCCATTAGCATAGTTGTGTTCCCCTCTCTCACTCTGCAAGGTCACCCACATTTGAGATCAATTGTGTTCTGACCCTTCAACAAAAAAGGTTGTTGCTAAATTATGAAAGTTTTTCATTATTCAGTGTGTACCACATTCACCCATACATCAAGACATAACAAACAGAACTTTGAATTATCTAAATTGACTTATGGTTTGACAGCTGAATGGCAATGATGGTAAAGACATTGGCCTATTACTCTGGGAGACTCAAGTTTGAGTTTGAATTAGAAACCTCTGGAATTTTTCAAAGACAGAATTGACTTGTCAGGCTCAATTTCTCAATATCCAGTGCTCTCATTGTGAATTTATCCAAACCCACAATATGAATGGCAAGGGAATATTCTTAATGTCCTCAGAGCATAAAAAATTAAACAAATTTACATAAATTAATTTATGACAAAACAGATTACAAAAAATTTAAATAATTGCATAAATAAAAAATATTGTTCACAAAAACACTACTATAACCTACTTTTGAAATAACAACAACTATTTTTGATAACTGACTTCTCTAGTTGCCTCTTATATCAACAAATTAATTATTTCCTCTTTATTTGCCATTGTTATAGTACAGGGGTGGGCAAGCAAGAGGTCAGTGGGAGCCGAAATGTAGGTTTTGCAAAATGCATGGGAGCTGCAGTTCTTTGCTTTTTTATTCTGTAATGCAGTTCTGTACTGCAATTTTATTATATAATATAAATATTATATAAAACAAATATTGAATTTTTTTAATAAAAAATATTTTCACAAAATTGTGGAAATAAAATTGTAAAAATAATAATAAAAAGCAGAAATTAACACTTTCAGCAAGAGCCACATGTAACTCAAAAAGAGCCGCACTTGCCCATGGTGGTTATAGTACAATGTCATTTACTTGACATTGTAAATTCCTAGTAACTGTAAAATCCTGTGGATTCGAAGTCAAATAAAACATAACACTAAACACCTCCAAATGACAATAATGACAGCTGGGAAGAGACTGAAATAAAACAATAGTAACAATCAAAAGAATTGACTCAGCATATAGAGAGAACGTACATTAGATTCAAAGACCACATAGTCTCATAAAGACCACAAGTCTCATATTTAATGTCACATGTATAACATTAATGCCACTACAAATTTCTCACTGCACAGTAACTTTCTGGACATCTTGTCCTGTAGCTTCATGCTACAGTTAAACTATACACCAGCATTCACTACTTGAAAAAGTATATACTAAATACAGAACTGTAGTTTTGAAAATATTTTAATAAAATAAGTGATTTGTTAACAGCTTTACACAAGAATGTGTTATAAATCACAGTTACAAATATAACAAGTTCACATAAGTAAGTTTTTTTGATATAAACATAAAAAAAATTATATCCAATGATGTAGAAACAATAAAGATAATGATTCTCTGTATTTTCTTATGTTTTAAAGCATGTTAAATAAGTTGTAAATCCATCAAATTTACAACTCTAGTATTGAAGTTTTCTACAGTATTGAAGATGTCTTTACATCAAAATATATGTACAACTGTCCCTCGATAATCCGAAAGGTATGGGACCAAAGGGGTGTCGGATTACCAAAAGTGTCCGGATTACCGAAAGTGATTACTTATTTGGCATTGTTTTGCTAGCAGTAGCCTACAATATTCCCTACTCCAACTGTTCGAACAGAACTGCTTGCAGAAAACACATGAAATGTGTGTCATCGTGTAAGAATTGGGTGAGGAGATTCATGTCATGACATGCTTCTGTGCAAAGCAGACACATAACGGGAACAGGTACATTGATGGGAGGTGTGTCGGACTACTGAGCATGTCGGATTACAAAACGTCGGACTATCAAGGGGCAGCTGTATTTTACAAAATATTAGTTTGTAGAATTGAAATTTGCATTTGTATAATAGAAAAATAAATAGCAATATAAGCATCAGCATAATAGACAAAGAATCTATCATAAAGCACTTCGAAGAGCTCAAAACTTTTTGTGTTATTGTGATAAATATTAATAATTTTGGCAAATATAATTTAAAATTTACAATTATTTTTCTTCCTGTACACCTCAAATTAATAGAGTATTATTATACGTGGTACATTCAAAAAGTTTGCAGAAAATATCTGTAATGAGTGTAGATAAAATGAGAATAACTCAGTTTTTTTTTTTAAATACATGGCAACTTCGTACTGAGTCGCAGCACAATCAGTTCACAATTTCACTATGCAGTTCACTATGTAGGCATTTTGTGACATGGTGATAATGAGATTTTGAAGTATGATTTAACGTAACACTATCCAGTCCTGAATAAAAAATAAACATCAAATTGTGTGTCCTTTGGAAGAAAACATCTCAAACAAACTCTATAAATGTTATCAGCAGTTTAGAAGGTTCACCTCTTTCCCCATATGAAAACACACAAGAAAGGCTGAAAATTTGTCAACACAGATGAAGTGACTGCCACTGCAAAAAGTGTAATTCACACAGTCACAAATGAGGAGTTCCAAAATGTTTTCAAAAACTGTACAATCGGTGGGTGAAATGTGTTACTGTAGAAGATGAATACATGCAAGATAATATTTGAAGATAAATATGCTGAAGGAGGGTAATGTTGTCTGAATGTGTACAGAATCAATAAAAGTAGTGATAAAAATCTTTTCTGTAAAACTTTTTGAACATACCACCTACAAATAATATTCTTTTCAAAATTTAAAAGTTATATACCTGCAGTGATCACCATATGTACATCGACCTTGAAGGTAGTAACGACAGACTGGATCTAAAGTAGCATTTTCTCGGTCATGTGAGAATTTACAACGTGTTCCTTCTCGGCATATCCCAGAAACATAATAACTATATTAAAAAAAGCAAAAAACAAAAATTAAAATAATAAAATAGTCTTAAAATTAATGCATAAAAATAATAAATAAAGTTGTATAAGATGATCTGAAATAATAGAATATTTTAATTTATGCCAAATTGTTTAATCAACTGTGGCATTAGTAAATAAAAGATAATTTCTCAAAGAAATGTAAGATAGAAAGAGATTGAAGTAAAATAGAAATGATTGAAAATATTAAAAAATTCTGATCTTAATTTAAAGTATGTTAAATTAACTTTTTGGTAAATTTATATAGAATAATTTTTGATTTTATCTTAAAATATTTTGTGTACTTCTGTACTAATTACATAAGAAGAGGCTAACACAAGATATGGATGCAGTGAACACCCACAGCAAAGAATCTCATGCTTGTGCTCATCCATACAATGGGCCTACGTTCTGTAGTGGGCACTGAACAAACTTCCATGCTGCAGAACATTGTTCTTTAAGATAGCGGACACAATTCAATTGAGCTCAATGTTATGAACTACATATCTACTATTGATTTAAAAATAATAATTTGTCGCTCCTTTTCTTTGGAGTGTTTCATGAAGATTGATGGATTCTTGAACAATATACAGTCTTGTTTGTGACCATTTGAACTGAGCAAGTGTTGTTTTGCTGTCACTGAATATATTGATTGTCTTATTGTGTAGTCTTGGGTTGTCTTTTATGTAATGCAGAGCCCTGAGAATGGCCAGGCTCTCCACCTGGTTATATGAGCAATGTTCTTTGAGTTTGTAATTAGCTTGGAAGATAGACCTGTCGCACTTATTAAACACCACCACAGCACATCCTACACCTTCTGTTGACTTTGACCCATTGGTGAAGATTTTATATCCACTGTTGTAATCTTCCCAACTCTCCTTAATTTCTGGGCATGGCTTTGTTGGTTGTACGATGTTGCTCCTCTGTGCTGTGTCAAGGCCATATTGTTGAATGTCCTTGATAAGGTCACTCATTAACCTATCCCATGTTGAAATTTTTCTCCATTGTGTGTAGCCACCATGTTTAATTTTTGTTGATGTTAAGCCTAACGAAAATTTTTTTTAAATAATAATCATGGCATTAAAAATTTTTTTTATTTTTCATAAACAAAATAGATATATTAATAAATATAAAAACAAAAAAATTATATTTCCAAAGTTCATTTTAATATAAAAATTATGACACAGCAACATCTAGTATCAAAAAAATTCCGATATGTTCAGGGTCAACCGGGCAGATCATATGAGGTCAACACGAAAATACAGTCAACCCCCCTATAAGATCATAGATACATTCCATTTTTTAGGAAACCGATTTCTTACGAGTCCTTCCAATCATAGCCCGACACGTGTCAAGTTTACGGACTACAGCTGTTTGAAAGGTTTTCTTCCATAAAATTAATCGATTCTAGACTAATCCGACTCAACATTTCCAAAATACACATATTTTTTGTGGAAATAATCCGTATAAACTACGCTATAAACAAAAAATTGTAGGATTACTTACCGAGTGTGCACCGCAATTGCTAATGCTTGTTTTCGTCGCAGAGAGACGCTCCGCGACGAAAACAAGCATTAGCAATGACGAAAGTTTTCTGATAAGTTATTTTTCTGCGAAAAATTCGCTGAAGTTTGGACACATCATTAATAGAAATAATTTTTATCGCCGTTGAATAAGAAATGTTTCTTTCACAAGAAATGTATAAAATTACAGTACTGTATTAGACTTACGATAGCTAATTTACATACTGTACAGACAATAGTTAGCATAAAATCTCCGTAGTGTAATGCCACGCAGCGGAAAAAATATATATAATTATAATAAAGTTACAATAAATTAAGTTAATATATATTTATATATACAGTACCTAATTTATATATAATTAATATATAATTATATGTACAGTACCTAATTTATATATAATACTGCACAGACGATAGTAATCTCTCCGTAGCGTGGCGCTACGGATAAAAGTAGTTTGGCTGCCCGATGACGTTTTACGTAATTATAGGAGTTTTTTTACGGGTTTTTACGGATACCGTCGCAATTTTTTCGCAGTTTTATAGGAATTGTAATTATAGAGACCGTAATTATAGGGGGGTCGACTGTATTCAGGAACAACACGGGACAGGTTAACGGATGGTGGTTGGAAGTCTGCAAACCATCAGCTAGTTTTCTGAGAAGTTGATGTTTCCAGTGAATTTTTAAGACGTGTAAGTCAAGAGGCAGTATGTTTATAATTACCTGTAAAGTATTTGTAGGGCTTGTCTGGTAGGCCTTCACAATAGGGATAAGGCTCATGCATTGTATTGATAAAAGTTTCCTCTTGATATTCTGCTTAGTAGCCACTTTTCACCAGACCTCTGCCCCGTATGAAACTGCTGACTCGATAGCACACTGGTAAATAGTCCGGGCTAGTGTTAGAATTGATCCCCCATGCATTCTAAGAAATGCACCTGAGGGAATGTGCAAGGGTGATGGCATTGCTGTGGACATGTTCGACATGTAACTTCCGGGTTAACATTTCATCAATGTTTATTCCCAGGTATTTAACGATTGTGCTGTATTTTATATGTTGGCCAGAAAGTTTGATGGAAGGCCTATTAATCAGAGGGTAAAGTCATGGAAATGTGATACAGGCACATTTTGCAGGATTTATAAGTAGTTTTTTTCTTTTCAGCCATTGGTTTATCTTACTGAGAAGTCTATTCATTTGAACCTGCAGAACTTCTTGATTTTTATGTGCCATAAGAACTAGTGTGTCGTCTGCAAATCCAAGGATATCTATTGTGGTATCTCTCAAAGAGGTGTCTTGCAGTTTGAAAATATCATTGTACAATGTCACAAGATTGGCCCTGACCTTGACCCTTGTGGGCACCTTCTGTTTATGTTTTTGATGATGATGCTGCTGCTGGTTCCAGTTGTAATGCTGGTTTTCCTTACTGATAGGAAGCTTCTATAAAGCCCATATAGATTCCTTGGGCATTTAATTTCTTCCACAGCCATGAAGAAATTAATGCATGGTCAAAGGCCATGCATGGTCACCATGCATGGTCAAAGGCCTCTCAAAAGTCAATTGCCATAGCCAGCATGTGTTTGTTATTGGTTTTTGCATTGTCAATGATACCCAGCATCTGTTGTAGAGTGGTTATGGTGCTCCTGTGTTTGCAGAAACCATGTTGGTTGTAATGTAGAAAACCTGATTTTTCCATTACAAATTCCAGCCTTACCGAAAGTAGAGCATCCAGAATTTTGCCAAGTATTGGCAACAGCGAGATAGGATGGTAATCTTTTAATGTTGAAAGCTGCCCTGACTGTGTTTTAGATATAAGTTTTATCTCTGCACGCTTCCATGTTTTGGTAAATATTGCAGTTCTAGACATTTATTGTAGATAACAACCATAGATGATAGTATAGCTGTAAATGCATGCTTAGCTGTGTTGCCTGTTATGCCATCCGGGCTGGGGCCTTCCCTCATTTAATTTCCTTGAAAAGTATAGCTATTTTGCTAGGACTGAAGGCTAGTGTCCAATTCTGTCTTCAGAGATAGTGGGCACTTCCCCCTCATGGTTATGTGATAGTGATTGTCTGTTTCTGTCTGGTCTGTAGGAAAGAGCTCAGACAATAGATAATCTTAAGTCTCTGTAATTGGCTTTGTAAAGTTTCCGTCCCCTATTTCTTACTGCGGTTGGCACCTGGGAATGCTTATACTTATTGAAAACCACTTTAAAGGGTTTACTCCATGGATTTTGGTTGCCACTAATTTTGCAGAACTCCTTCCATGAATGAATTGGTTCTGCTGTTATTGATGAGTGTCTTATACTTTTTCTGTTCTCTACTATACTCCTTGCGAAGGGCCTCCCTCCGTGTAGAATCTGAAGTTTTCCAATGGGCCCTTTTCTTTTTCCTCATTCTATCTCATTTTTTGTAACTCAAGATTCCACCATGGAACTTCACTATTATGGTCTTTAACAGTGGTTGCTCTTGTGTAGACCTGATGTAGGGCATCATTAAGTTCTATTGGTATGTCTAAGTCTTCCTTGATTTTCAGTCCAATGAATGGTCATGGTTTCCAGGTTTCTTGGATGATGTGTCTGTATAGTTTCCACTTTGTTCACTTTTTCTCAGTCATATTAGCAGGCTGGATAGTATGTGCAATTTCTGCTCTGATGTTATGGTGGTCACTCCCTGTGACCTGGTTGATGGTGTAACAAGTGCCAATGTCACCTAAGAGGGAGCTGCTGGAGAGTTAAACATCAATCCAGCTTTTCCCAGTTGTCGGAAAGTATGTAGGGAGGTCACTGGTGTTCAACGAGTATAGTCGCTGTTCTTCCAAAAACTCCCATATAGCCTGGCCTCTGAGGTCCTCCCTGGAAGCAAACCAGATGGGAGACTTAGCATTAAAGTCCCCAGCTATAAATATGTTTGTCTGTGGAATTTGCCTAATTGTCTCAGCACGGTTATCCAAGGGAGGCTGGATATTCTCGGAAGGGAGAAAATAGAGATAATGTAACAATGAAAGTCCCCAACCTCAATTTCAATGGTATGGTTGCTATAATTTGGTATAAATTGGGTGTTAATGTGGCAATTTGCTATGACCACAGTAGTTAAGGTTTGACCTGGATGTTGGGGTTAAATGACTTTATAATTCTCCAGAAGTGCTGGTTTATCTCGAGTGGTACATGGCTCTTGCATTGTAACAATATCAATTTTCTTCTGCTGGATTTCATTTAGTAACTGTGACGTAGAAGCCTTGCACTTTTGCAAGTTGATTTGAAGTATAGTAAGGTTATGGCTGAAGTACAATTGTTGATTAAACTGATGATGACTGCAGGATTATCGTGTGGTAGAGGTCAGTATTTGGACTGCTATTTGTTTGAATGATTACAGCTGTTTTTATTTTCAGTAAAACCGGGCACCTTGCCTGAAAGGCGTTGTGACTTGTATTGTTCCTCTTACCACCTCGCAAGATTTTATTAGCCTC